TGTCACAATTAAAAGTCAGTGACATAATCTAAAATTTGTACACTTAAGAATCAAATGTAAAATAATTGGAAAGTAAAACTAGCAGTAGCAAACAAGAGGGGTTGGTGAACAAAAACAAAACTTAAATCAACCAATAAACTTTAAAAATAATTTAAAATAACTTTTTTTGTACCTAACCCCCTTCTTACACTACATTGATATATCCACTATTTTGAACTCATATATTCTATGTTACCTGGAATATAAACCATCAATCAATTCCAGAATCATTCTTTTAAAGATGGCCAAAGGGCCATCCCCAATAATCCCTCTTCTCCTAGTACTCATTTTAGGGTTACTCCTTCTTGGCCAAACCCTAATGAGAAATTTATCATTAGTCCTTGAAGCACAAGACACAACCTTTACATTTGTACTTTTCATCCCTCTTCTAGCTTGCCTTTTGATATATTACACTACCCAAACAATCATATTACCTCTTGCACTAATTTTGACCACATACATGGTAACAAAAATGCTTCTTGGCCCTCTAATTTTGATACTTATTGTGTATTTGAGTATGTGTTATGGATCTTCTTATCGATGGCGGCATGGTAATACAAGTGCTCGAGCTCATAGCTTGGGGGATGAAGATGAAAATGGCGGATGGTCATGGGTGCTCGTGGCGGTCGCCTTTCTAATTTTGCATGGGATTTTTTCCATGGGAGAAGAGAACAAATGGGTTCTCGCTCTCGTAATTGTGTTGTTCTTCATTTTGTTTAACCTATGTACTAATTAAATAATTATATGTTAAAAAATCTAGGGAAAAGGGTCAAATAGACCCTCAAACTATTGCTCAAAAGTCAATTAGGCCATCCAACTTTTTTAAGAGGCAATTACACCCCTGAACAATGTATTTTGATGCAATGAAGCCCAAATGCAGGTAAATGACCTGCTATCCCAGATCATTACAAATCCGGCGACATTCCGACATATTTTCAGGCAAAAAAGTGACCGGCGATGGTCGCCGGTCACGGAGCCCTCCCGGAGAAGGCCACCCGCCGGAGAAGGCAACCCAAATCTGGGTTGCCTTCTCCGGTTGAGAAGGCCACCACAGTGGTGGCCTTCTCGCCGGAGAAGGCACCCAGATTTGGGTTGCCTTCTCCGGTGGAGAAGGCCACCACTGGTAGCCTTCTCGACCGGAGAAGGCAACCCAAATCTGGGTGCCTTCTCCGGCGAGAAGGCTACCACACTGGTGGCCTTCTCGACTGGAGAAGGCAACCCAGATCTGGGTTGCCTTCTCCGGTTGAGAAGGCCACTGTCTGGGTTGCCTTCTCCGGTTGAGAAGGCCACCACAGTGGTGGCCTTCTCCGGGAGGGGTCTCCGTGACCGGCGACCGGTCGCCGGTCACTTTTTTTGCCTGAAAATATGTCGGAATGTCGCCGGATTTGTAATGACCTAGGATAGCAGGTCATTTACCTGCATTTGGGCTTCATTGCATCAAAATACATTGTTCAGGGGTGTAATTGCCTCTTAACAAAGTTGGAGGGCCTAATTGACTTTTGAGCAATAGTTTGAGGGTCTATTTGACCCTTTTCCCAAAAATCTATGACTTTTCACCTATGAAGGTCATCTTTAGATTTTTCGTATGCTTTTTGGTGATAAAGTTTCGTCTGTGTTATATATAGTACCTATATTATTTAATTTGATGGCCATTTGCAACCGGTACTAGGTTCTTTCACTGCTCGGAAAAGGGTGATTTCCGGTCAGAAATGCAATTTCCGACCAACTTACCGACCACTTTATGAATTTGGAAAAAAAGCCCTCTCTATTACCGATAACTAGTCAAGGTGGTCGGAAATACCGGCTTCTTTTTTAGGACATCGGAACTACTAGTTGTCGGTTAAAGAGAGCATATTTCATATTACTGGTGGTCGGTAATTGATCGGAATTACCATCCACCAGTGGTCGGTAAGATTTACAAAGAAAAAATTAAAAAAATTGAATTACCGACCACTAGGTGGTCAGTAAGATTTACTAACAAAAAAAAAAAATTTAAAATTCTACAAATATCAAATGAATTAGACCTATTACAATCCAGCACCACAATATTAAATTCTACAATACAATTAACAATTTAAGGAAATCAAACATTAGTCAATCATTTAAATCAAGGTGTAGCAATTGTTTCACCATCAAAAATACATTTGTCAAAATATTAGCTAAACGTGCATGCTAATAAGTAATAAGATTTTGTAGCAATTATTTCAGCATCCAAAATACATTTTCCAAATATTCAAATAATGTACTATCTAATATTGATTAAACCAGAGTGGAGGGATAGTGTATTATCATCGGACTGATCGAAGGGGGGCTGCGTATCGTCATTATTGCGAATATCATCCTAGTTAGGACTACTAAGATGTACACTAAAGTGAGCAAATGCTGCTTCCATTTTTTGGACAGTCTCACATATACTACGGTATTGTTCTGACTTATTAAAAAATAACGATCATAACATTTCTGACCACATTTCTAGTAGTCTGCATTTTCGACAACCATTTGACAAACATAAGCACTTAGACTAAAAATTTAAATGATTATAAAAACTTTGAGTAAAATTACAAGCTAATTGTACTAACTAAGAGTTAATAAATTTTACTTTGTAACCAGATTGGTTGGTGTGAGTAGCCGTGCACTCTCGTTTCTTAAAAAAAAATTCATTGTTTATTGACGTTAACGGCGTTAGGCGGATTCCCAAACATTCCATTCTCTCTTCGCAACCGCACAGTTTATAAATTATGAATCTACAGTATAGAAATTATGAACCTACAGTATTCACTACAAGAATAAAGACATTTAGTGACAAATTTTTTGTGACACTTCATAATTTAGTCACAAATAATACCCTTTTTGTGACCAAAAAAATAATTCGACACTATTGTGTGGTGTAATTGTGATAACTTTTTTTTGGTCATAGATAATATGGTAATTGTGACGAGTAAGTATTTGTTACGAATAAGTTGTCACTATTACTAGAATAATTGTGTCGTAACATGCGTTGTCACTATTTGTTGTCACTAAATGTATGTTTGTTTTGGCGACATTATAATTATGGCGGGAACGAATGTAATTGTGACAAAAAATAATGTTGACACAAATGTTTGTACTTTTTGTGACAAATAGTTGTTGGTCACTCTTGTTGATAATATTCGTGACAACTTTTTTTGTCAATAAAAATACAATTGATTTGTACGATTTGTGAAAATACATTTTATAATCACTCATTTTTAAACGTTCTTATGTGACAGATAAGTTCACTATACTTATTTTACTAATTTGTCATATCATTTTTTTTTGAAAATAAACATGTATATGTTTAGTACCAACAATATATTTCAAAAAGATTTATTAAAATTAACCATTCAAACTCAAAATACATTTTTTTTTTTTGAAAACTTCAAACTCAAAATATAAAAAAAGTAAAGAATTCAAAAGTTATAAATACAGATTCATATACTACTCAATCATCATCATCATCATCACCACCTTCCTCATTTTCAGATGTTGGAATCTCATCATCATCATTAATAAAAGCATCTCAATCACTATCAATTTCATCTTCTTCGGTACTCATGGTATGAACGTTTGATGAGCTTACTTCAACAATTGCAGCATCCAAATTAGGCATATGCAATACCATAACATCATTATTATATATCTTCCAAATTAGAGCCTTGAATGGTAAATGTGATATCCGATTTTTTTAGCCCTTCTAAATTCTTATTTTTACGATTGATCATTCATATCTTTTCTAATCAAGTGTTAAAAAAAAAATTAAAATCACATTATCCTTATCCTATGATTATTGTTATAAATAAATACAAAATAAAGTATGTATAATTATAATGTTTGATTATAAATATGTGGGTAATATTTTGAAATACAAAATAATTATTTTAATATAAATTGTGTACATATCATTTTGGGTAATATAATTATATATGTACATTTTATATACTTATGTATTATATGTGTAGTACATAGACCTGGCAATTCGTGTATACGGGTTTGTTAACGGGTCGACACGATAACGACACGAACACGATAAGGCTAAACACGGACACGACACGTTATGGTTAACGGGTTCAAATTTTTAATACGAACACGAACATGATTTTTTAACGGGTTAAGCGGGTTTACACGATAGACACGTTTTGTTAACAGGTTTCAAGTCGTGTCGACACGATACGACACGAAATCCGTTTAAACCTGTTATTTCTATTAATATATTTAAGAAAACTAAAATTTAAAGTTCTATAAAATAAAAAATAAAAAATAAAACCTACCGTTCAATTCATCAAACAAACTAAAAAGTATTGAATTCATAACATGATAAAATAACTTTCAAAAATCATAATTAAAGGAGTCCATACAAGTTTTTAGAATAAAATTGAACACAATCAAAATTCAAATTTCAAATTGTTGAACACTTGAACAACAATAATTGGTGTATGATCTTGGCCTAATGTAATAAATTCATCCTTAGTCATGTTCATAATATCTTTTGTAATCTCAATAATGACAATGGTTCTTACATAATGACAAAAATGATTCTTAGCGGGTTATAAACAGGTTTGATAAACGGGTTCGTGTTAACGGGTTAAACAGGTTCTTAATAGGTTTAACAAGTTGACCCGTTAAGACACGAAACATAACGGGTCCTTAACGGGTCAACCCGTTAACGACCCCGGACATGTTAAGGCTAAACACTAACCCGTTATTTTCGTGTCCGGTTTCGTATCGTGTTAACGGGTCGTGTCCATAATTGTCAGGTCTAGTAGTACATATATTATTTGTATGTAAGTAATATATATATATATTGGGAAGAATAGTTAACTACATATATATATACGTGTGTCTATGGTGTGTAGTATATATATATATAAGGTAGGATAATATTAGATATATAAATAAATATATATTTTGGTTGTTTTTTTTTGAAAATCAAAAGAAACACTGCATTAAATCAGATGTTCAATACAACTCGGAATAGAAGAAGTCCAAACAATGAGACCAGATTGAGAACGAGCCGCCCTAGCTAAAGCATGGGCAACTTTATTCACTGATCTAGAGATAAACTGAATAGACACATTAGTAAAGTGTCGTTGAAGTAATCGGCATTCCTCGAGAACACAACCTGCATACGTACAATCCGGTAGAGAAACCTTAACCAAATTACAAATATTCTCACAATCCGAATAAACCTTAGCATGCATGAAACCCTTCTCTTTGACCCATGACAATGCCTCCTTCACTGCAACTGCTTCAGCTAAATGAATATCATCCATGCACTGAATAGGGCCGTTTTTAGCCGCAATGTACTCCCCATCTGCAGATTGAAGAAACACGCCAAAGCAAGCTTCATGCGTTACCGGGAAGACAGCAGCATCCACATACACTCTAACCGTATTTTCTGTAGGTCCATGTACTGCCACAATGTTAGAGGAATGAGTATTGCTACCAGTAACCATTTCCTTCATCAAATTCCAATCATTCATAGTACGCTGATGCGCTAACCGAATAAGTGCAGGCTGCCAAACTTTCTGTCTCCAAACCACCTCATTTCTTTCATGCCATACGCACCACCAGAATGCAATAGATTTTAGAACCTTCAGCTTATCATCATGGATAAGACATTTACATAACCAAGCAGAAAATTCATCATCCATGTTTGGGAGGGGTGTGTTCACTAAATCATACCACAAAGGAACAAGAACAGTACACTCACAACATAAATGGCGTATAGTTTCCGGTTGGAGTCTGCACAGTACACAACTAACATCAACCTCCACTCCCCGACTATTAATGGCCATCATCGTAGGGAGTACACCATGCAAGATACGCCACACAAAATTCTTTATATTTGGAGGAATTTTCAGCCGCCAAAGATTGCGCCAAACTGCAGAATCCGTACCTTCCTGACCATGCAAAGGAGTTAACATGCGATAACCATTTTTAACCGAGTACAAACCCCTTATGTCTCCCCTCCAACACCATGTATCGTCAAATTCAGTAGCCACAGGAATTTTGAGAATTAACTCAGCGTCCCTTTGCTCAAACATATTAATAACCAGCTGTGTGTTCCAATCTTGGGTAGCAGAATCAATTAAGGAGCAAACCTTCATGTTGACATCATTATTTAGAATTGGAGACCGAATAAATGGATCCTCCTGATTAGGTAGCCAAGGTTGGTTCCAAACATTAGTATCTCTTCCATTGCCAATCCGCTTATAACTTCCCTGCTTCAACAACTGCTGTCCCGCAAGTATCGATCTCCAACAATAAGAGGGATTAGCACCAATACTAGCTTCTAAAAAACCGGAATGCGGGTAGTACCTTGCTTTATATAGACGAGCAGCCAAGGAATGTGGTTGTGTCAATAATCTCCACCCCTGCTTAGCTAACAAAGCTATATTAAATCTGCTCAAATTCTTGAAGCCAATCCCACCAAGCGACTTTGGAGAGCACATACGTTGCCACGCCATCCACCTTATACCACCGCCACTGTTACCAGTGTTTGTCCACCAAAACTTGTTCATAATTCTTTCAATCCGCTCACAGAGTGTAACCGGTAGAAAATATATACTCATTGAATAAGTGGGAAGCGCTTGAGCCACACTTTTCAGTAAAATCTCCTTACTCGCTTTTGATAATATCTTCTTGTTCCAACCACTCAACCGATGGATTAATTTTGCCTCAATATAGCTAAACACTTCTTTCTTATTTCTTCCCACTCCCATTGGCAAACCAAGATACTTGCCAATATTGTCTGATTGAATCACATTTAATGTTCCAGCCACTGCTATCCTTAGATTTGCAGCTGTATTGCGACTGAACACTATACATGATTTATTAAAGTTTACAGACTGACCTGACATCCGCTCATAACTAATCAGGCACCCCTTTATAGCCGCCGCTTCCTGCACCGTAGCTTTCAGAAAAAGCAGACTATCATCTGCAAAGAACAAATGTGATAGTCCGGGAACTCCTCTAGCCACTATACACGGTGACACCATTCCTCTAGTTACAGCTCTGGAGATCAAGTGAGACAAAGCCTCGGCACAAAGAATAAAAAGATATGGGGACAATGGGTCCCCCTGACGCAGCCCACAAGTAGGTATAATAAAATCCGAAAGATCACCGTTAACATTCACTTTGTACCTTGATGTATTCACACACCGGAGAATTAGATTAATCCAACGTTGGTCAAAACCCATACGAGACATCATCTCCCGTAGAAATGTCCATTCCATTTTATCGTACGCCTTTGCCATATCCAACTTCAATGCACACCAGCCATGATTACCTTGCCTCTTCCGGTTTAAGTAGTGAATTACCTCAGAAGCAATTAGTACATTATCTGTAATCAAGCGACCGGGAAGGAAAGCACTTTGAGATATAGAAATTACCTTGTCAAGTACTTCCTTGAGTCTGTTTGCCAACATTTTGGAGAGAATCTTATACAAAACATTGCATAATGCAATTGGGCGTAAGTCCACCATAGATGTGGGAGTTGATTTTTTTGGAATCAACGTAATAATTGCATCATTAAACCCAATCAGAAATTCGTCAGCAGAGATACAATCCAGTACGAATCGTGAGACATCCTCCCCTATCTCATTCCAAAAATGCTGGAAGAATGCCGGGCTAAATCCGTCAGGTCCCGGGGACTTATCTGGAGCCATAGAGAATAAAGCTTCTCGGACATCATCTGATTGAAACGGTCTCAAGAGACGTTGATTATCCTCTAATGAAATTGTAGCATTGAACCCGTCCAGATTGCTGCCAAAGTCCACCCCTTTAGAGGTGAAAATATTCTGGAAATATCTAGTGGCAAGAGGCAAAAGTTGATCCCCATCCACCCAACTTTGCGATTCATCCTGGAGCTTCAAAATGAGATTTTTCCTTCTTCTGGCAGAGGCATATAGGTGGAAATATTTAGTATTTCTATCCCCTCCAATCAACCAATGTTGTTTTGCTCTTTGACGCCAGTAGATGTTCAATTGATCGTTCAAATCTCGTAGTCTGCCATCCAATTCACGTACCTCTAGAAGAGAAGCCCCATCAATTCTGCTACGGAGCATGTTCAGTCTTGCCTGGATATGAGATATCTCCTTCTCTGTTCTTTTTGCGAAATTTCCTCCCCATGTACGAAGAGAGATTCCACAATGAGAGAGTCGACACGGCACTGTATCACCCCGAGAAAAATTCCAGGACTCCAAAACCACTTGTTTGCAACCTGCCTCCTTCAACCAAGCGTTCTCAAAGAGAAAATCACGTCTTTGCTTAACCATGCGAGGGCCAAAAATTTCAATATGAATGGCAGTATGATCAGAAGTTATAGTGTCATGGTTACGCACTGATACATTAGGGAACATACTGCACCAGTCAGCTCCAGCCACCGCCCTGTCAAGACGCTCCTCCAGCCAGTTTTCGGTTCCTCTACCTTTTTCCCAGGTGAACTTCCTACCCCTCATACCGAGGTCAAACAAACCACAATCGTCTAACATCTGGTTAAAGCCTTCAATGAGAGCTGGGGGATGTGGATGTAGGCCACGTTTCTCATCAGGGGATGCAAGGTCATTGAAGTCTCCAGCAACCAACCACGGCAGGTCGGACTTCTGTTTAAGAGACCGAAGCAAATTCCAAGATTGTTGGCGACGATTACGCTCCGGGAAGCCATAATAATATGTAAGTCTCCAAGGTTCACTACCGGGCAGATTCACTTGGATATCTATATGGTTTTTCGAGTAGCTTATAAGATTAGCTACTCCTCTATCTCGCCATAATAAAGCAAGACCTCCTCGAACTCCTCCTCCATCAACGTAAAAAAGACCATCGTAATTAAGTTTCATTTTCAACTGCTCAGCATGTTCACGGCGCACCTTAGTCTCCATTAAAAAAATAAAATGTGGCTTGACCTTAGACTCTAAGGCCAAAATTTCACGAACTGTACGTGGGTCGCCAAGCCCTCGACAGTTCCAACATAGGGAGGTCATTGAGATGGGCGGAACTGGTCGATACCAGTTCCGGCCAATAACAAGTTTTTTGAACTAGAGCCTTCAACTTCCATAGGACTACTGCCAACTGTTTGATCGTGAGAAGCAGAATCAGTACGACGTCTTTTTTGCTCCATAACGGTTATTGTATTCTTCACACTCACGTGAGATGTTGTAACATCATTATTGACCAAACTTTCCTTACTTGTAGAGACATTACCATGCCCAAAATCTGCTTGATTGCCATGCGTCAGTATGGTAATAGAATCATTAACCAAATCATGCGATGTCTTACCTTTCATATCTAAATCCGTACTCATCGCCGGCGACTTCCACTGACTACGCTCCGCGTGAGATTCCGGCGGTACCCATTTCTCTCCAGCTGACGGCGCATTCCTCCTACTGCCTGCACGAAGCTCTGGCCCGTAGGGCTTCTCAATATTACCCGACCAACCTTGCACCCGTTTCGAACAATGCTTATCGCCATGACCGATCAACCCACAAATAAAGCAGAAAGTGGGAAGCCGTTCATAACGGAATTCAACTTTGATCCATTCACCATTGTCCTTCTTTAGACGCGTACCTTTTCTCAGAGGTTTAGAGACTTCAAACTCAACTCGGATGCGGAAAAAAGTACGCATAGATCCATCGAAGTTTCATTCATCCATTGTGGTTACACGACCGATATAATTACCAATGGCCTGTAAGACCGCTTCAGATCGAAATCCGGACGGTAAGCCATGGACTTGAATCCAAAACTCAGCAGACTCCAGCGGGACTTGTTCCGGATCTTCGCTTGGAGAGATACGTTTGAGTATTAGAAGGCTTTGCTCAAACGTCCAGGGTCCATCATCAACAATCCGTGATATATCGCTTTCATGATAAAAACGAAAAAGATACCTTCTTGGTTGGAGCTCTTTAACGTTCACGCCCATCACTGGGCACCACAACGCTGCCATAGTATCTCTGAAAAACACGAATTTTATGGGTTTATTGGTCACAAGGCGACCAACCGCAAAAAACTCGTTAACTTCCTCGGGATGATTCAAAACAATATTGCCAACTTGCTGAATGTCTTCATCATCTTCTAGATCAGCAATAGTCAACGTTGCCATCGATCTCATAGTGCTGTCGGAATCCATAAGAGAAAAAAAGGCGAAACGGCTCACAAAAAGCGGAGAGGGAGAAACTCGCGAAAGGGCGAGAGGAAAAATTTCACTTGTTATATATTTTGGTTGTAATTACCTTTAATAGATATATATTGTTTGCTTTTATATGATAGAAATTTTTAGGTAATTAACTAAAATTATTCTTTCAATTAATTACTAAGTTGACTAGGGTTGGATGGCAAATTATGCTGTGCATTCGTATGCACCATGCATGGTGCATACGGATGCAAAAACGACGTCGTTTTAATAAAACGCGTGTCTGCCCTTAAAAAAAAAAAATCAGGTTCGATTCCCAGCAACAACATATGAACTAAAATTCCATAATCGATAAACTATAATTCCATAATCGATAAACTATAATTCCATAATCTAACCTATGAACAAAAATTCTAGAATGAATGAACTAAGGGGGGTGTATTCAATCAAGACTTTTAAAGAGTTTCAAAGACTTTTAAAGTGATGGATTTTAAATGACTTTTGTAGAGATTTCGTAGACTTTCCTAGAATCTTTTAAACTTTCATCAACTTTGTAAGAGTCTTTAAAAATCCATAAGACAAACATTTATAGACTTTTAAAAACTTTTTCATATTAAAAAGTCTACAAAAGTCATTAAAATTCTAAATTGAATACACCCTTACAAACATTCCATAACTTCTACTAATACATTATATTTATAATTTTCTTACAAAAATATATTTATATAAACCATAAATAAATTAATGCATTGCAAAAAAATAAAAAATAAATATTGATTGTCACAAAAATAGATTATATTATACATAAAGAAAATAGATTAATCAATTAATATAATCTATTTTCACTAAATATAACCAACAAAAATATTTCTTGTACTAATGAAACAACTAATATTGAGTAATATAATTATCAAAATGTCTAAAATCAAAAAGTACAAATTAAAATATTCATCTTGTTAGTACAATTATCTTTGATTGGAATTGTTTTCACCTTGTTGGGTGTCTCTCCACATATCCAAAGCTATTTTAGCCCTCCATTCATTGGCATGCTCTCGTTGTTGCTCTTGAATTTCAAACAGATGTTCAAAATTATCTACATCATTCGTCGGTAAAGGTGAAGGAGATTCATCATCATTTAGCTCAATTGGAAACTCATCGCTACGACACTCCTTGCGAAGAAAATTATGAAGCCCGGCACAAGCTAGTACAAGTTCTGCTTGAGTCTTATAAGGGAATGGAGGTGCTAACTTGAAGATCGTAAATCTCGATTTGAATATACCAAATATCCTCTCAATTACATTCCTCAAAGAAGAATGTCGTAGATTGAATAACTCAACATCATTTTCAGGGTCACGACCTTGTCCGAAAAAATCTTGAAGATGATAACGTACACCTCGATATGGAGCTAAAAATTGCTGTCGGTTTGGAAATCCACAATCCACTAAAAAGTATTTACCTACACACATTTAAAATATTAATTATCCAATATGTAAAGTTATTTAATATTATTTAAAAAAAAAAAAAACTAAACTAAACTGACCTTGTGGTACTTTAAGGCCATTCCTCCTTGATAAACTGTCACTTAGCAATTTTGAATCATGTGCTGAACCCTCCCACCCGCTAAGAACATATATGAATTCTAAATCAAAGTTACAAGCAGCCAATACATTTTGTGAAATTATTCCATGACGATTACGATAACTGCTTACATCACGCCCAGTTACCATTGCTGGAATATGTGTGCCATCAATAGCTCCAACACAATCCTAAAGTAAATTCAACACATAAATATGATTTCATATTCACATTTATAAGAATATCTATGACACGCATAAAAAATAGAACAATAATTAATCAAATAGGGTGATTTATTGCTTACCTTAAAGTATGGGTAAAATCTTGTACTTTCTCTTATTCGTGTAGGCACTGTGAAACTAGGTTTGACCATCATCTCAGGTGCTATTGTGTTAAGAGCCTTTAAAACTTTGTTAAAATTCTTACTTGTAGCAAAGTGTGACCGATAAAATGTTTCACGAGTATGGCAATATCTAGAGTTCTGGCCAACTGTTAGTAAAAATGTTACAACCATTTCTTCAACAGTAATGTATCTTGTATCCTTTAGAAGTGTTTTCTCTCTTATAATATGACATAACTTTAAAAACACATTTGGATACATTCTGTATACTTGCCGAAAGTTATCAGAATCTTCAGCCAATACGTTTTGTATGTAAGTGTATCCACGTGAAGTAATCGGTCGTCGAGCTAGTGGATGTTCAATTCGTTCACCATTATTATCAATAATAACCTCTTTTAATACTTGTATAATCATAGAAATTATTTCCGATAAACGTTGAATGATTTCATAAAACTCTACTTCTTCAATTTCTTCATCTACTTGTTCTTCCTCCACATCAACCATCTCAAAGTCGTCATTGCTATCAATACTAGAGCTTGACATTATATATCAATCACCTAAATGGTATTAAATAGTACCTACAAACAAAAGTATTTATATGAAACAATAAAAAATATTTTTTTTTTAAAAAAAAAAGTAAAGAAAAGAATTTATAGTAAAAAAAAAATAGTAATACTAACAATAATTCTATCAAACTTCATGTAAAAAATCCAACACAAATATTGTTAATGCATGGAACAAAATTTATGAAACTAATAATAGTACTAATAATAATAATACTATGAACTCTCATTTGGACAATTTGAACATTATCTACTTATAGCGATCTTGGGGTGACATATTTATAAATGTATCTTTCTTTGATTTGGTGTTCAGCCATTCCAAAACCTTGAAACAAGTATCACTATCCAAGTCAGGGAGTTCCTTAATAGCATCCCAACAACCACTTTCTTTTACCCTTTTTTGCACCAAAATATGGATATCAGCCGCAATCGAATCAAGAGTATTAGATAATTTATCTAACACATTAGATCGATTTGTTTCCTCTGTTGAACTACTATTTCCTTCATATTCAGTTCTATTCCTTTTTCTCTTATAATACTTTGTTGAAGTTGCTTCCACATTTATCTCTTGAGGTGCTGATGAAGTATATTGTGATAATCGTGGATCTTGAGAATCTACTTGTATATCATTTTGTGTACCATCGTTAGCAAAATCAAAGTGTAGTTGATCAATTCTACACTGATTATCTTCTTCAACACTATAGATTCTTGCATCAGTTTCATCACCCAATCCGATAGAGTTTTTTCCTACAGCAGTACTACTTCCAAATACAAATGCTAAATCGTCATAGTCAGCAATCGTATCTGTCCGTAGATTTTTATGAGTAGGATGAGACTAGAAAAGGAAAATAAAATAGTTAATAAATTATTTAAAATATAAAATTTAAGAAACATCTATGTTAATTAAACGATATAAAAATCTCACCTTAAAATAATCTTCCCACACCTCATCGCTAGCAGTAAACCTCTTTGTGATTGGATCCCAACCAAATCCAGAATTATGACGCATAAGCTCAGAAAAATTGTTAAAACGATGCTTGAACCATTTCAATCTGCTTTGGTATTGTGCATACGATCTTTGACAACCAAGCTTTTCATTAAGAGCCGGAAGTATCCTCTTCTCCACAGTTAACTTGCTTAAACCCCCACTACTATCACGCCATCCATTTTTTATCGCATCAACCATAAGTTGTAACAACTCATTACTCTCCTCAGGTGCCCATAATGCATAATTTCCATTAACTTTACTTTTACCTTTACTCCTTTCTTGATCCCCCATTACTATCAAATAAATAAGAACCTCAAATAATTCAACTTAACACAAATACAAATATTAATAATTAATGAACATATAATAACATAAAATTATATTAATTATAAAAAAAATTGTAAAAATTTGAGTATATTAATTCAATTCATTACAAAAAAATTATAGAATATTTATGCTGCGAACAGCAGCAGAGATGCTGCTGTTCGCAGCAGATAAGCGTAAAATCTGCTGCGAACAGCAGCCCCCTGCTGCTGCTCGCAGCATGTTTGCTGCTGCGAACACGCAGCAAGCAAATTTGCTTGCTGCGAACAGCAGCAAGAAATTCTTGCTGCTGTTCGCAGCAAACAAAGTTGCATAAATATATAAAAAAAAAAAATTACAACGTATACACGTACCGACAATTTGATGAAAAAGTTGTCTGGTTGATAGAGGAAAAAAAGTCTGTAGAGAAAATTGAAAAGTTTGAGGTTGGAGGGTCGGATTTCATCTATTTATATTAATGAAGAAAAAGTCTACAGAAATCCTATTATGATAAAGTCTATGAAAGTTGATAAATATTTGAATACCAGTAGACTTTTAAAGACTCAATAAAAGTCTGAAACGAATACCTGTATACTTTTAAAGACTTCTGAAAAGTATGAATCGAATACAGGTAGACTTTTAAAGAGTCTTTAAAAGTCTAAATTGAATACCACCAAACTTTGAAAGTCGTTAAAAGTCATTAAAACTCTTTAAAAGTCTGGATTGAATACACCCCCCTAAAATTCCATAATCTATAAACTAAAATTTCAGAATCGATGAACTACAATTCCATAATCGATGAACTATAATTCCATAATCAATGAACTATAATTCCATAATCTATGAACTAAACTTCCAGAATGAATGAACAATATAATGTTGTTGCTGGCGCGTTTTTTAATAAAACGACGTCGTTTTGGCATCCGGATGCACATCATAACGGATTGGGGGTTGGATGATGATCAATATAGATATTCTCTTCCTTCTTTTTTTTCTACCTTGGCCAATTCTACTAGCAAAAGAAAAAAAAATTCCTCTCTTCTTCCCATCTCTTCATTTTTGAAATTCTAAAAAATAAAAAGAAGAAGAAATTCTTCTCCTATTCTTCTCAAGAGTTGAAACAATCTACGCAGGCCTAAAGATCGGTGGAGAACTTAGAGCATTATTAAAAGATTAAAAAGATTTGGGAAGAATTTGTTTCAAGTAAGTGGTTGTCCTTTATCTTACTTTGCCCATCTTTGTTTTTTTTTTTTTTTTTTTTTTTTTTTTTAATGAATTAATTTTGGTTGGTTGATTTTTGTTGTCTGAATCATATCAAGATAAATTATATCATAATAGTTGAAATATATAATTTTTTAGTATTGAACATGTATTATGCTAAAAAAATGAATGTAATGCTTAGTTTATTATATGTTCTCTACTTACACATATATATACTTTCGTATTTATTTTGTATATAAAATTATTTAATTTATTATTATTGAATGACATATGTGTGTGTGTGTGTGTATATATATATATATATATATATATATATATATATATATATATATATATTATGTACTGCACATATCTATATTATATATTTTGTTTTATTTTTTTATTTATATATTATTACCTGTTTTTATAAAAAATATATAAATAAAAAAATAAAACAAAATATATAATATAGATATGTGCAGTACATAATATATATATTAACTACCGTATATTACATATATATATAAAAAAGTATATATATTTTCTGCTGTGACCTTAAATTAATTTTTACTCAATTATTAATATTTATCTTAATTGCATGATAAACTTCAGGAAGAGGGAGAGAAGAATAAAGAAAAGATTTGAGCTGCACCTCTACCACTTGTTGAGCATTTTGATTTGGTTTAAAAAAAAAAAGTTAAGCAATGCACGTGATTTATGTTTTAAGGGGGTAACTTCAAAAGTCGAAGAGAAATTCTTTTCAAGCAGAAATAGAAGCTTCAAAGAAGCGTGAAAATAATTTAGAAGAAGAAATTGCAAAATTTAAAGAAATCGCACAAGCAGCTTTAGAGAAACAAGGTGCTGAAATCAAACAATTTTTTGCACACTTAGCAAGCAATCAAGGGCTTCAAAATATGCTAAGCAATGCATCTCCATAAACTACCTCAATTGAAGAATAATCAAGACATTTTATTTTAAAACATTTTTATTTGAATTCATTTCTTACAAAGTATATTTGTTAGACATTGATGTCTTTATATATATATATATATATATATATATATATATATATATATATATATATTTTAATTTGATGAGTAACATTTGTTGAATGAATTATTTTATTCCAAATAATAATTAAATTAAAACATTTAATTATGACAAGATTTTGAAATAAATAATTTTATATTTTGTGTATTTGGCTAGTATTATTTGGAAAAAGAATTGTGACCAAGTAATGGTCACAACAAAGTAATTATTGATACAACTCTTTTGGTCACTGATAATCATTTTTGCGTCAAGAACAATTCTCACAAATAAGTACAGCTATTGTGACTAAAGTGTTGTCACAATAAAATATTTAATTGCAACAAATTTAATTGTCACTAAATCAATTTTTTGTAATAACATATTTGGTCTTAAATTATACATTTATTGTGACAACTATCGTTATCACTCAAATACTACTTTCAGTGTAAGTAAATATTGTCACAAAAGTACTAAGTAATTGTGACAACTTTTCAAAAGTCGTTACTACTACAATAGTGACGGAAGATATAGTGACGACAGGTGACGACTTCAAAAATTGGTCACTAATTTCAATAGTGACCAAAATTGATAGTTTCGGTGACAACTTCTGTTGTCACTAAATGTGAAATTTCTTGTAGTGATTAGATTTGTGAACATGTGATAGAGCTATATGTTCATAATTTTATAAATATCTGTTCATAATTATAGAGCTATATGTTCATAATTTTCTATGTTCATATTCTCAATTGTTGAACTTTGTATTCACAAATCACAGAACTATATGTTCATAATTTTCGATGTTCATATTCTCAATTGTTGAACTCTGTATTCACAAATCACAGAACTATATGTTCATAATTTGATAACTACTGTATTCACAAATCACAGAACTATATGTTCATAATTTGATAACTATACAGTTTAGAAATTATGAATCTACAATACAGAAATTATGAATCTACAATACAGAAATTATGAATCTGCAGTATAGAAATTATGAATCTACTGTATAGAAATTATGAATCTACTGTATTTAAATTATGAATCTACTATATTTAAATTATGAATCTACAGTTTAGAAATTATGAATCTACAGTATAGATTTTATGAACCTACAGTATGGAAATTATGAATCTACAATATAGAAATTATGAATTGAAACCGTGCGCACCTTGCATGGTGCACACGGTTACACAGCATAACATTCTGACCAGCACTTTGCCTTTTAATTAGGCTGACCCGATGCGATGGGGCTTAGTCTAAGTATGGTACGAGCTTAGAAATTTCTCCTAAAGTTAGGGTATGCTCGGGATACCAAATTAAAAGCACATTTAACTGTATGAGTAATACATATTCAAATGAGCTAATACTCAATTTTGTCTTTAGACTTTAAATGGCTCTTATTGAGGGAATGTCACAGGATCGAACTCTAGTGGTGGGGTATTGACTATTTAGACTGCAATAGTCAACATATAAAGAAAGTATAGAACAAATACTAATTGTAATGTAATAGAGTCAATAGTATTAAAAAAACAAGGAATAAGGGTCAAATTGACCATTGAACGTAACGCATAAGTGCAATCAGGCCACCCAACCTAAAAAACGTTCAATTAGCCCACTTAACAACGCAAATGTCTCCAATTTCACTGCATAGCCGGTTTTCCCTTCTTGTTTCCGGTGGAGCGATGACAAGGCAGTTGACATGGCATTAACATCACTCCTCCTTGTATTTCTTACCTATCCAGCGTGTATATAACCCAAATCCAGTGTTTGAAATCTCCAGAGGGTGAGGCAGCAATAGCTCAATGAAGAAGAAACCCTAGTCGCATGCCAGGTCTATAATGGCTTATTCGAATTCTAGGTCTTCTTCAAGTTCTCCAAAAATACCTTCTCGCAATTATACTTTTCAATATGAGCCATGTTTGTACTGTAAATGTGGATTGAAAGCCCCATTATGCACAGCTCGGGATAGTGGAAGAAAATTTTTTGGCTGTCAAAATTGGAAGGTTAGATTTCTTATATTTGTTGTTTGTTAATTCTTTTTTCAGTTTGCATTAGGGTGTTGCGTGTGTTTTCAGGGCAATGGATGTGGATTTTTCCTTTATGTTGAGGATTTGATGCAAGGAATGGGAGCTATGGAGTATGAATCTACCAAAATGGATTTAATGGAGTTAAAAAGGATTGTTGAAAGTGTAAGAGATGAAGTTGTGGTGGTCCAAAGCAGATTAGGGAGGATTGAAGAAGCCACGAAGAAAAGTGGTACTGTAAAAATGGTTAAAGTTGTATGTGTTGGAGTTTTAGTTGTTTTAGTTGCAATTGTATGGTTTAATGTTAGGTTTATGTAGTGTTGGAGTTGTAGTTATTTTAGCTGCAATTCTGGACTTAGTTGTATTCTGTAGATGGATATGAATGGTTCACTAGTTTATGAATGGGTGTGTTCCAAGTGTATTTGAATGCTTACAATATTATTCACTTGTTTTTGAATGGTTGTGTTCAATGCTTTATGAATGCTTACAACTGAAACCAGTGATAAACATCAACTCAACTCATAAAAGCCATCAACTCAAATGATAAACATCAAGACATAATCTGAAACTATAATCAACTCAAATGTGAAAGCATTAACCATAGGCCACAAGCCAGTTACAAAAAAGCCATCAACTCAAATGATAAACATCAAGACATAATCTGAAACTATAATCAACTGAAATGTGAAAGCATTAACCATAAGCCATCAACTCAAATGTTAAATAGAAGCCATAATATGTCAGCATAAACCATACTGATTTTATAGAGTTAAATACTGATTTTATAGTGTTAAATCCTAAAGAGTTAAACAGAAGCCATAATAAGCCACTGGCAGTCTACAGAGTTAAAACCATTAAGCCATAATATTCCCAGGCAGTTTGCAAAATACTATGCCATAAGCCAGTTACAAAAAATTAGGCCATTCACAAGTTAGTCAATACAAGTTTCCACACTTCATAGACAAAAAAATTCATGTTTCACTCCAAGTTTCCACTACTGTTTCTTCTTGGCAGCTTTCGCACTTGTTTTCCCTCCAACTGATAGCACTTGTTGTCCTTTTCTTCCAGGCTACAAAATGAAAAAAAGGTGAATACATTAATCATGCTATTTATAACCATGAATTTAAGAACCATGCATTAACTTACATTTAAGATTTGTGTTCCAGTATTTGGGTTGATGTATACACCAAAGCCACCAGATCTCCTCACAGGCAATTTACTTCTCCTAGTAGATGATGCATAAGCAGAAGTTGTAGCAACAGAGGCAGTGGCTGTGGCTGAAGCAGTGGCTGTGGCTGGCATATACTATGAGGAAGCAATAGAGGCAGTGGTAGTGGCAGTGACTGTGGCTGAAGTAGTGGATGGCATAGAATTATTTGCAGGACAAACTTTCTTTTGATGTCCCTTTTGTTTACAAATAGAACATGTCATTACTCGTCCTTGCCTTGAAATTTTCCCAACTCGGGGTTCTGTAGGTTCTCTGGTTCTTTTCTTCTTGGGCCTACCAGTCATTGGTCTTGGTTTAGGGGCTAAATTTCTTAGATGGAGGGGTCATATGTTGTGTAACTACTTCTTCTTCTGACTCTTGAGTGGGTGGGTCTGCTGAGTCATAATAGTAGTCATCACTGCATGCATCTTTCTCAGTTTTCTTAGCTTCATTATCCTTAGCCTTGGTAGTCTTAACCTTGCCCTTAACCTCCTTTCCCTTTCCCTTAACAGTAGGCTCATCTTCCCCTTCATACCGCAAGTTCACATTAATGTCAGCAACATCCTCTTGTGTAACTCCTCCAATATCATTCTCAACATCAGAATATTCATTGTCCTCACCCTGAGAATCTGTATATTCACACTCAGAATCATTATCTTCACCCCCAAAATCATTATCTTCTTCATCACCTTCATTGCCTCCTTCATTAGTATCATATTCTTCCCCTTCATCTTTACCATTCCCTTCACCATCATTGTAGTTTCCCTCATAATCCCTCATTAACCTCATCATTCCCATCACACCAGGTAACAAGTAACTTGGAATTAAATCAGCATCATCTATTCCATGATCCACATATATATCACATGACTTAAATCTAATTGCTAATGCATTGAGATCTAACACAGTTGCATCATTCCACAAAACTCTTAGTTTCTCCATTGGCTCATGCACTGCTTTATAGTATAGTGTCTCTATTTTTCCATACTGCCCTTCCTTTATGAATTTCACTAAGTGTGGGTATGAAAGAAAATCAGGGTCTATATCAACATGCCAAACATCCCCATTCATGTACTGCACTTTTGAATCCTTTCCCCCCATGGTGTATTATTAGTTCAACAGTGCCCATCACTAGGGAACCTAACAACAAGCAATCCATTCTCAGCATTTCAAAGAGCAATTGAATGAAACTATTTATTCATTACAAGTCTGACTCAATTACAGAATGCAGCCACTTCCTCATATTTTTTTAGGGTTTAGAAACCACATTATGACTCAATATTGAAAGCAACAATGCAAGCAATTATCTACAATATTCTTAGGGTTTAGGGACCACAAGTCTAACTCAATATTCTATTAAAAACATTATCAAAGCATCTACTGTATTCTAAGAATTTAGGGACACAAGTCTGACTCAATATCCATTGAAAAACAATAACATTATTGTACTGTATTCTTAGAATTTAGGGACCACACAAATGCCTTTTAGTCTTTAGACTCCATTAAAGATTGCAGACAATGACAAGGATGGACCACATAGTACAACAACAAAACTAAATCAAAGCAAACATGTCGGGATTTCACTATACAAACAGTATAAAGTCGCATGTTTTTCACAAAAACTATAAAAGAACTCTTTCTCTTCAAACAAAAACACAAAAAAAAAAAAAAAAACAACGAAAAATCCAACACCCAACTATAAAATAACTCAGAAAAACATACCTCAACTCCAGAAATTGAAAAAGCGCAGTGACAACCTTCAATCTCTTCAAACAACGAACCAACTTCTACACTTCAACCTCTTCGATTTGGGTATTGTTGTCAATTTGGGGACTGCTTACGAATGAATTAGGGATGGCTTACGAGAGAATTAGGGGTTGCTTTCGGACAAGGAAGGGCAGACTGTCGTTTTGTTTACACGCTGAAAGAAACAAAATAAAATTGGGGTACTAATGCCATGTCAACTGCCATGTCATCGCTCCACCGGAAACAAGAAGGGAAAACCGGCTATGCGGTGAAATTGGAGACATTTGCATTGTTAAGTGGGCTAATTGAACGTTTTTTAGGTTAGGTGGCCTGATTACACTTATGCGTTACGTTCAGTAGCCAATTTGACTCTTGTTTCAAAAAACAAAACTAAATCGGATAGCATTTAAAGTTAGGACATAAAATAAGGTGGAAGAACTAATTTATATATGACAAAATTTTGTGTGAAATCGTCTTATGGGCCCTTATCAGTGAAACAGGTTGAGTCAAATGAAAATGTAATACAGATACTAAAAATGTAATATTAATCAAGAATAAAGTGTTTATTGATGATTATGAAAACCAACATGACTGTATTCCATAATCATTTTGATACACAAGAAGTTACACAGTCACTGAAACTGAAAACATGAACGTTAGACTCAAAGCTACCCTAAATTCTCTCAACATCACCAAATTCATCCAAATTCAGAAAAACCTCTCAAAGCCAACTCCGAAGCTCTGGTCTGATAATGGCGGCGAGGTTTCTGACCCAAACGACCAAGGCGTTCACACGTTACGGCGTAGTCACCCCATCTTGCTCACATTGGACAAAATCAACCCCACGCTGCAACAGGTCGACCAAGTTCATGCCCAGCTCGTTGTTTCTGGAAACTTTCAGCACCCAATGGCCTCCGGCCGGTTGGTGAAAAAGCTTTGCTCTTCGAAACTCACACTCCCTCACGCTGTGAAGCTCTTTTCCTATCTTGAAGAGCCTGATGCTTTCCTATGTAATACGATTATGAGAGGTTACGTGAATTTTGATGAGCCCGAAAAGGCTTTAGCGTTTTATTATCATCAAATGGTTGAAAAGGGAATCGTTCAGAATAATTATACGTTTCCGACGTTAGTAAAGGCTTGCGCCGATATGGGTTTGCTGAGAGAGGGCCAGAAGGTTCACGCCAATGTTGTAAAATGTGGGTTTGAATTGGATTTATATGTTAGGAATACTATGATTCACATGTATGCGGTTTGTGGTAGGATTGGGGACGCAAGGAAGGTGTTTGATATGAGTCCCGAATCAGATTTAGTGACTTGGAATACTATGGTTGACGGTTATGTTAAAAATGGGGAAGTGAAATTTGCCCACCGGGTGTTTGATAGTATGCCTGCAAGAGATGTTTTTAGTTGGAATACAATGATTTCCGCCTACGCGGGGATTGGGGATATGGAGACCGCAAAGCAGTTGTTCGAGAAGATGCCTTCCAGAGATATTGTTTCTTGGAATTGTTTGATCGATGGGTATTCTCAATTTGGAGATGTCATTGCTGCTCAGGCACTGTTTGATCAAATGGATTACCGTAATGTTGTTTCTTGGAATAGTATGATGGCACTTTATGTGCGGACAAAAGATTGTAATGAGTGTTTGAGATTGTTCGATAGAATGATGCAAGAAGGAGATGTTAAACCAAATGAGGCTACCTTAATGAGTGTCTTGACGGCATGTGCACACTTGGGGAGGCTAGACAGAGGTGAATGGGTTCATTCCTATATCGAATACACCGAGAGAATAAAACCTGATGTTTTGCTCTCAACCGCTGTGTTAACAATGTATGCAAAATGTGGAGCGGTGGATTTGGCTAAACGTGTCTTTGATGAGATGCCAGAGAAAAGTGTTGTATCATGGAATTCTATGATAATGGGTTACGGGGCACATGGGAAGGGCGAGAGAGCTGTTGAAATATTCTTAGAGATGGAAAGGAACGGAGTGATGCCAAATGATGCTACTTTTGTGTGTGTTTTGAGTGCATGTACTCATTCCGGGATGATACTGGAGGGCTGGTGGTTCTTCGGGTTAATGCAGAGAGTCTACAAGATTGAACCTAAGGTTGAACATTACGGTTGCATGGTTGATCTCCTTGGGCGGGCTGGGTTGATGAATGATTCTGAGGAGCTTATCGGGAAGATGCCTATGGAGTCAGGCCCTGCACTCTGGGGAGCTTTACTATCCGCTTGCAGGACCCACTCAAATACCGAGCTGGGGGAGATCATAGCTAGGCAGATGATAAAATTGATGCCAGATGACGTCGGGCCTTATGTACTCTTATCGAATATATATGCCACCGAGGGAAGATGGGATGACGTAGAGAATGTGAGAAAGATGATGGCTGAGAAGGGAGTACAGAAGGCAGCGGGGTCTAGCCTGCTCCAAAAAATACTGGAATCTTTTCCTTCAGAATCTGAATGAGTACTCTACTCCATCTTGTCTATAGTTTGTATCCACAATCACGGGTTGTGCTGAGTTTAAGCAGTAGCCGGGATGGCAACGAGGTTGATCAAGTTAAGAAAAAACTTGCCTAAAGGCATATGGTTAAGCTTTGATTTTGAAGATTCACATCCGGTAGGTATTCCTAGTGTTGGGCGTCGGTCAAGTTCAGCTCGATTCAAGACATGGCGCTTGGCTTACCACGGGGGGATGTTTACGAAGGATATGGTAACCAGATAACCAAAAAACTCCGTGGTTAAGCGAAACCAAGCCGGGCTGTCTTATGATCCTTTTATCTGTATATTTTCCTATCTTGTTTTATGTTTTCTCTAAATCTGGATATGTCATCAATTATTTGAATAGGTCTTCCATATCAACATGTTGGTGAAGCCTTGCGGATGATTTATCACTGCTTGTATGTGGCTCTGGATGAACAAGGTAAGATTTTAATTTAAGAAATTTTATATTCAGCATAAATATGTTAGGAATTCATCATTTATTTACTAAGGAAAAACAAATCAATGTAATAAAATTGGTTGTCTATGCTGCAGGTAAAGCTGAATATAATGTTCTCTCTATAAAGATGATGTAGATGGATATGAGTATACTAATGTCAAATACAGGGAAAGCTTGTGCTATGGTATGATTACCCTCCTGCCCCGGTGTAATCAGGGGTATGTCCCGGTGTCACATGTATTGGACTTTTGATTTATATTTACATCTCCCGATTTGATGATTACCCTCCTGCCAGTGAATTCTCCTGCTAAAGATCCTCTTTGGGTTATTAATTTTTTTGGGTGTACTCAGATTTCCACTGTTAGTGACAATGACTAATTCCTGTTGAGAAAATTCTCTTGTAACTAAATATGTCAATAGCCTATTTTCTAACTGAATCGAACCATCATAATTTTGCTATGATTAATGTAATTTTAATCTCTCAATTGTTTCTTACTAGCGATTTTAGTCCGTAATTTTTTATCATTACAATATACACTCATAACTTTTCAATAAAGTTGTATTTATAACCCCTAAAGTAACAACACTATTAAACTCTATTAAAATTTTATTTAATAAATAGTTATTTTAAAATTTTATTATCTTTGTTCTTTATAACATTATTAGTTTTGGAATTTAAACATTTTCTGCTGTGCAGCCCGTGGCTTTTTTTTTTTTTTTTTTTTTTTTAATTTTATTTTGTAATTATCTTTTATTCAATTGACTCATTTAAAATTATTTGGTACTACATACTTATAATTAAAATAGTTATTATCATATTTAAAAATATTTTTTATTGAATTGACGCATTTATGAATTGGATAAATAAATTCCGTGTAATATTAGCGTATATCAATTTTCAAAATTAATTAGTCTATATTCTACCACCATATTCTTTTACAATATCTATTAGCATAATTAGTTATTTAATAATCTTAATATTTTTTATTCAATTAAGTCCTTTTAAATTATCCAAAACTACATACTTATAATTAGAATTTATATTACCTAATTTAAAATATTTTTATTCAATTACTAGTATAATAATCATCATCCATTTCGGGCTATTATCATAATAAATGTATTTTGTATTCAGAGAAAATATATTTTTATGGTCCATAGAGTGTTGTGTATCCTTCCGCCTCCTTTCTCTCTCGCTAGTCGGAGTAGTCGCTACTTCCCCTCTGCCCCTTTCTCTCTCGCGATTCCCTTCTCTTCTCCATTCTTTGTCTCTCAGATCTCACTCATCTCAGTATATCACCCATCACTCTCTCGCCTTCTCCAATCTCCGCCTCTCACCTCTCGCACTCTCTCCGCGGCTCCGCCTCTCCGCCGGAATACGACTCTGACTCCGGTCCTCTTGAGTCTCGCCTTCGCTCAGGGCTCTCGGCCACTCGGTGAGTCCTCTCTAACCTCTCAATTTCAGTCTTTTAGAGTTTAATTTACTCATACTGATAGTCTTTGTAGTTCATTCTCTTATTTCATCCTTACTAGTTAAGTTTGGTTTGAATTTATTGTTGCTTTTCTTCCCCCCCATTATTTATAGAACAGTCTCATTTTCTTATGTCTGATATTTTGCACCATTATTTCCCTCTGCTGATTATTCCTATAATATCCTTGCCCATGTGCATGTCGATGGAATTATATCCAATTTGGCCAAAGAGATTTGTCTGATGTCCAAATTGAAACCAAAACTATTCATCATTATTTACTAAATTGAGACTTGGACCAAAACCAAACTAAGCTTAAAGCTTCTAGAGTTCTAGGGCCAAATCTGAAATTTACTCGACATAATACTGAAGCTTTATTTCAACCCCCACTCCCAAACCTTGAAATGTTCACTTTGTCTTCTTGGAAGAATAGATCTTTGTGATGCTTTATTCTTCCTAAAGGATCTTCAATTCTTCATATTTTTAATGCATTTTTTGTGGTTTACTACGTGCTAGAGATTGCTATTTGAAAGGATTGTTGTCTTACATGATGTTCCTGTTCCTTCTGAATTCTGATGCTGTATACCATTTTATGCATCAGAATTGGATGTATGAAATTCACTCTAGTTCTTAATGCTTATATTGAGCCCAAAATTGAAAACCAAGTAAAACTATATACACTGAGCTAAACCTTGAAGTCTTGGCATGATTGTCACCCAATAATAAGTCTTCTTCTTCATTATAGTTATGCGCAAGCTGAATTTAATGTTTTTTTGTGTGTGTCGTGTAAATCAGAAATGGTTATTCCTCCACCAGTTAGACCAGAAAGAGTCACAAAGTTCCTCAAACCTTATGTCTTGAGGATGCACTTCACGAACAAGTATGTGAATGCTCAAGTAGTCCACACACCAAGTGCAACAGTTGCCACAGCTGCCAGCACACAAGAGAAGAGCTTGAGGTTGGGGATGATAGAAGCGAAAGAAAACACCCGGGATGTTGCTGCTGCTGCAAAAATAGGCAAGCTGCTGGGGGAGCGACTGCGGGTCAAAGGCATTCCTGCTGTTTCTGTTTTCTTCAAAAAGGATCAGAGATATCATGGAAAGGTCAAAGCTGTGATTGATTCCATCAGGGGAGAAGGAATTGAATTGGTTTGAATTTGGATTCTGATGAATAATTCCCAGTTTATTTCTTGAACAATTTATGCTAAAAAACTTGGGTTATTTGATTCAAATGCATCGGGGGGAAGGGAAACTGGAAATGTAATATTTTTTAGGGTGCTATGCACCAAAGGATTTATGCAAGTTTATTGGTACAACAAACATTGAAAAGTTAGCGTAGATTCTTCATGTTTTCCTGCCATTTTACTCAAATTACTCACCTACTTGATGTTGCCCTTTCATCTTAAAATCTTTATTACACTTTCTTTTAGTATCACTTGCATCTCTAATGGGAGGAGAAAGGAGGAGAACAAATTGTACTATTTTTTTGTTTTTTTTTTTTTTGTTTTTTTGTTTTTTGTTTTTTGTTTTTTGTTTTTTTTTGTTTTTTTTTTTTGTTTTTGTTTTTTTTGTGCTTGAAACTATGAAGAAAATATGATAAACTCAAATTTGCATCCTTATATTGTGGATAAGGGACCATAACGCACTATAGATCCTAGTTTTACCGGACGTCATTTTTGATTTACTTTTGATGGTGACGGATTGATTGTTTCATTCATGTTATAGTTTTTCTTTTTGTTTTTTTTCCTTCTTCTATAAAGCAGTGTCATATGTTATGAAATTTTGTACATTAAAAGTATCAATTATATTATGAATTTATATCTTGTATTGTGAAATTTGGGGTCTATAAAACATAAGTTCTCTACTTAAATTAGATTTGAAAATAAGTAAATACATAACATGTGTATATGTCTTGTGTTATAAGTTTTTGTGTTTTGTGTTATGAATTTTTATACTTTAAGAGTATGAATTCTCTACCTAGAATATATTACTGGTTGTGTAACACACAACATATTGTGTCTTATATTATGCATTTATGTCTTGTGTTTTGAATTCGAGCATATGGAAAATAAATTATCTATCTAAATCAGATTTGAAAATAAGTAAATATATAACATGTGTATGTGTCATGTGTTGTGAAATTCTGTACCTTAAGAATATGAATTCTGTACCTGGAATATATTATTAATTGTGTAGAAACATGAAAAACGGGGAAAAATTAAAAATTTATTCAAATTTAAAGATCAAAACGACATCGTTTTGATCTAGATTTCACAATATTATATAAACTTGGTTTACGATATAAATTGTCCTCAAATTCCAAACCATATACAAAGAACAAAGTTTGTCCAAGCTAAAGCCCTAATGTTGTTGCGAATCATTGTCGGCAAATTATTGTGTGGATCATGGTTCACATAATGCTGCACGAATCATAACAAAAAATATATTTTTAATATCCTAAAAGTACATTATTCGTGTATTGAATGTACATTATATAAAATAATGTACTTTCAATTATCAAATAATGTACTTTTTTTAAAAAAATATAATGTACATTTTTAATATAATAAAAATATATTATTTGTGTAAATATACATTATTTGATAGTATAGTCCACACAATAATGGTTGATCATTAACACCATAGCTAATCATACCGATAAATTATATCATGGATTATGTTACATCTTGCATTGTGGACTCTGGTACAAAATAACATTTAGATATATATTTTCAATTAACATATTATGTTCTTGTCAATAAATTGAATTGTAACATGTATAAAAATTAAATGTAGCACCTCGGGACTAACTCAAGTGGTAGATCACATGATCTTAACTCTTAAGTCACCACTTCAAGTGGAAGGTGAGAGTTTGACTCTACTAGGCACTAGCAACATCATCTTGGAGCTAGAGCTAGCTCCCAAGTATACCGAATACGGATGGATTCATTGTGCAAAGAGTTATGTACCAATCGTTATGCAATGGAACCGTGTTCACCATCCATGGTGAACACGGTCCCAACGGTGTTAGTGAACCGTTATTTTATTTTATTTTTTTTCTTAATTAATCGCGTGACTTTTCTTCTTCATTTTCACATTTCGCGGTTTCACTTTAATTTGAGGTGAGCAATGATTTCGGACATTCATAAATTATGAATCCATGGTTGCACATTCACTTTGGAACCATGCCTACACATTCCCGTCCGAAACTATGGCTGCTCCTCTGTAGCGCAAGCTTCTTCAACATTCATAAATTATGAATTTTCTGTTATGAGATTATGAAATTTCTGTTATGAGATTATAAATTTTCTGTTATGAGATTATGAATTTACAGTACATTCATAATCTCATAACAGAAAATTCATAATCTGACCAAACGCGCGCCGTTAACACCACATTAGCGATTTTTTTTTTTTTTTTTTTTTTTTTTTTTTTTACGTAAAAACGGCGCCGTTTGAACCCGTGTTCACCATTCATGGTGAACACGTTTCCAGGGCATAATTTGCCGTTATGTACCCCTTCCTGCAACTCTTGAGCAAAGTAGGTCCATTATAAGAGTACTAGATTTACACGCGCATTGCGCGAATGAGTTAATGCCCAATGTTCATATTTAAATAAATATTTAAAGGTATATCAATGCAAGATTATATATGAGAAGTTCATACATAGGTAATTGAATGTAGAATTTGTTTATTTAAATATGCAACTCAAAGTATATGAATGCAAGATAATATAGGAAATTCATTATAATTGTCACTAAAATAAATGTTCGCAATTTTGTAAAATTGATAGTATAAATACTTGATCTAAAAATGATAGGCCACAATCCATCATATGTTTATAAGTGTAGGTACTATCCCACTACGTCCTTTTGGGATGCTGTGGTAGGCCACAATCCATCATATGTTTGGCGTGGAATTGTTGAGGCGAAGGATGCAATAAAACAGTGGGCTAGGCGGAGTATAGGCAATGGCCGAACAACCACCATAGGGGGTTATCCATGGCTAGTCACGGCTGAGGATCCTTATGTAAGAAGACCGTTGCATGAGTCAATATCTAATGCACCGGTCAGTTCGTTGATGAATGGAGCAGGAACTGGGTGGGATCGTGAATGTTTTATGGACTTGTTTGATGGGAGGGAGTCTGAATGTATCCTCAATTTGCCGGTAAGTTCTCGTAGTCCTAGTGATGCATGGGTATGGAAAGGGGATTCTAAGGGCCTGTATACTGTTAAATCTTGTTATAGGATGCTTGCGGGTGAGCTACCAGCTGATAAACCTTGGCGTTTGATTTGGAATCTACAGGTTCCACCGAAGGTCCGTGTCTTTGCATGGCAGTTAGCAATGGCGATCTTGCCAACTCGGGATGCTTTGCTAACTAAGCGAGTAGCGTGTACAGTTTAGTGCCATATGTGTGGTGCGGTCGAGGAGACGGCTGCGCACTTGTTCCGTGATTGTTTGTTTGCCCGTGCAATATGGGATGAAATTAATCTGCCGGCTTTGGATACTGATCAAGGTAATTTTCAAGATTGGTTCTTTGCACATCTATCTACTCTAACGGGTGAATTACAATGTAAATATGTGATGCTTTGTTGGGGGCTTTGGGGGAGTAGGAATGATGCTGTTTGGCGTGGTGTGCAGTTTAATAAAGGGGCTGTTTTGCGCAATACATTAGCATTCTGGGGGAATTGGTTGGCTGTGAGGGACGATGGTGTGCAGGGGCAGGAATAGCAGTTGGGGGCGAACATGTGGTTACGGCCGGTTACGGGAAGATTGAAGTTAAATACAGATGCTGCAATGGATTCTGGCCATAATATCATGGGGTTAGGCTGGGTGTTGCGTGATGATGAGGGGCTTTTTATGGCTGCTAAGAGTCTACGGGTGCAAGGGGCAAATTATGCTGTGCATCCATATGCACCATACATGGTGCATACGGATGCAAAAACGACGTCGTTTTAATAAAACACGTGTCTCCCCTTAAAAAAAAAAAAATCAGGTTCGATTCCCAGCAACAACATATGAATTAAAATTCCATAATCGATGAACTATAATTCCATAATCGATGAACTATAATTCCATAATCTAATCTATGAACTAAAAATTCCAGAATGAATGAACTAAAATTTCATAATCTATAAACTAAAATTTCAAAATCGATGAACTACAATTCCATAATCGATGAACTATAATTTCATAATCAATGAACTATAATTCCATAATCTATGAACTAAAATTCCAGAATGAATGAACAATATAATGTTGTTGCTGGGAATCGAACCTGAATTTTTTATAAAACGACGTCGTTTTGGCATCCGGATGCACAGCATAACTATCCGGTGCAAGGGCAGTTTTCTGTTGCAGAAGCTGAGATTTATTGTATTCGGGAAGCACTGGTATGGATGCAAAACACTGGCATGGGTGAGGTAGATGTTGAGACAGACTCACAGTTATGTTATTTTGCTTTGTGCTCGGAGTTTTTTTTTTTTTTTTTTTTTTTTCCTGCTTTTGGCTTTTTAGTAGATGATGTGAAACAAGTTGCCTCTATGATTAACGGGGTTAACTTCAGTTGTGTCAAACGATCTGCGAATCGTGCGGCCCACGCTATAGCACGGGATGTCGTTTATGTGTCAAGTCCTGGGGAGTGGTTGGATTCACCACCCCATTATTTTGTTTCTATTCTTGAGAATGATCGAATGAATTAAGTTTACTTCTTCAAAAAGAAAAATGATAGTCTAAATAAATATTACTTTTGAATTTAATTTTTGTAAGTATTCTTAATTCTCTTTTGAGTAACCTTGGCATTGTCTTCATCTTCACTATTTATCCTCTTCCTTTTTGTTGGTACTATGTTATTTGCAATTGGGTTACTGTTGGTAGCATAGATGACAACGTCATTCTAAAATTGGGTCAAAAAGCTATAATGCACATGGGCCAAACCACCCTAAAATATTGAACTCAATCAAGTTAAATAGTCTAACTCATGACTTTGTAAACCCATATGTTCTTTCTTATATTTTTAATGTAGGACTCTTAACAAAGAATCAAGAAAATAAATAAGATTTTCAACCAAGAATACTTGGCTTAGTCAAGAAGATGATAAAGATTGAATCTTGATGCAGGCAAGATGCAAAAAACACAAAGATTTTTGAAACACATATGATAACTTAAATTTGATTTTAAATCTGTCATCGTAATAGGTACTTAATTGTACTACTTGTCTAGTGTATTACTTGGTCATTTTGGCTTTGTATTGTTTTAAATGTGTTAAGTGACCAATTATTGAATAAAATATGTGGAAGGAGCTAATTGAGAACAATATTGTATTTTGAAGGTAAAAAGGACAATTTCAAATGCAAATTAAATTGGAGAAAAAAAGGAG